TTTCACCGATTTGAGTTTTCAGTTTTAGATTTTTACAGTAAAAAGTTCTAAAAAATGTCACATTAAACTTTTTCTGTTACAGTAAAAAGCTCTCAGAAAATGTCACATCTCAACTCAAATTGAAAACTCAAATCTACGAAGTGAACGAGACCTGAGACTATCAAGATTGAAGCTTGAGAAAATCTTAAATTGAAAAAAAAATAAAGACTTTTTTTATCGCCGCATCAACTCATTGATGGTAACTCATTGATGGTATAGGTTGAGTTTGGTTGGTGCAGGCAAGAGGAGGTGAAAATGGCATCACCTTTTAGCGTGGGAGTTAGGAAGTGGATTAGTGGTGGGTGGTCCACTAGCTGTAAATGCCCACGTGACCAAACACAGCTCATTGGAGTTTTACACCACGAGCTTTGATTATCATATCAGGTGGGACACTCAGATGGTGATGTTGTCCTCTTCTTATTGGCCCAGACACCATTTCCCACGTGGAATCCCACGTGCCCTCTACGTACTACTATCTTCTTCTTTTTTCTTTTTTTTTTAATATAATTTTTATTTTTATTTTTTGGTGCTGCTAAATGCTAATGCTATCCAGCCAACTGCAGGATCATTTAGTACAAAACTCACCATGTCGAATCCTCTATATATCTCTCTCTTTGTTCTCCCCTCTCTCTCCCTGCAAACTCCAAATCAATTATATCTCTCATTTATATACATACATATGTACACACACACATATATAATATAGATATAATCATATATCTGTTATAGAGGCTACTTCTTGGAGAAGGGTTGAACAGCTACATATGTATACAATTTGGTGGTGGTATTTCTTATCATGAATATGACATATATAAATAGCCATGTTGGTTTCATTTCTCTGCATTTGCACCTGCACCTCTCCAGTCTATAGCTAAATCATATAATAACATCTTATATATATATATATATATATATATATATATAATATAACAGTGAATAAATTTGCTTAAGATTAACCGGATTCTTATAAATTTCCTTTTATTGCTTGTGATGTTTTTAATGTTATATATATATATATAAAATATATATAATGTAATATATATGTATATAATATATATTTTGGTGATTTGTTTTAGAAGAGAGTGCTACTTGTGAGTTTACTTACAATCTGTAGACCTATTTGTCATCATTATCGTGATTAATAATGAGCATATACTTAATCGAGTGACTGTGGTATATAAAATATATCTGTTAATCTTTTGTATACTTGATGAAATATTGCTGCCGAGGTGAAGTTGTTGAAAATGGTCGAAAAGAAATATTAACATAAATAATCCATAAAAGATGTGTGTATGTGTGTGTATATATATGTGTGTATCATCTATAATATAAATATAACATTTATACATATTTGTGAAGCAGAAGAAGAAAGCCGTGGCAAGCAAAATATTGTTGAGATTGTAATTTGTATTATTTATCGTTTTAATTTGTCTTCATACATACATACATACACTGTTGCACGCATATACACATACAAATTAATCATGCCCAGCTGTTAAATCGTCAGAAGCCGCACACTAAAAGAACCTCGTTTTGGTACGTTTTTCCCCCCATTTGTCAAAACTAAAACTTAATTAGTAAGAAATATGCTATTTGCATAATAATTTAAAAATTCTTTCCAATAACACCCATATATTCTTGAATAAATTTTTGCCACTAATTCCTCAAGCATGTATACATATACATATATGTTTATATATATATATATATATGCACGTACCTAACAAGTGTCGACAATATGTCGATCATATATAAACCTTAAAACTTTATACACATAGTCACTCAATCAACTTTTACTAATTCAATCAATAATTACTTCTTTCAAACGTCATTTCTCTTGAGCAGAGAAGCTTATAATGATTTTGTAATATGTCCAATGAGAATTATTAAAGAGAAGGTGAACAAATTGGGGACTGCAGGGATAAAGACGTCAATGAAAAGGATTCTTCTATAATTAAGCTTGGAAAGTGATCATGATGATGATGGTAATAGCTAATTGTCCACGACCCTGCATTGCACCCGGCGCGTATTAATCAGCTCTAGCTCATAGTAAATTTTTATACTAGATTTGCAAATCTCTCTCTCTCCCTCTCTCTCTCTCTCTCTCTCTCTCTCTCTCTCTCTCTCTCTCTCTCTCTCTCTCTCTCTCTCTCTCTCTCTCTTCTTTTTGTACTTTATTTTCGTCTTCACATAATTATCATTTGATTTTTGTTTTTCTGCTTCGGATAATATAACTCACTCAAAATGTTTGATTCATTCTAATAATCTCTCAGATACATCATTTTGCACTCCAATTTTGTTGAAATAAGGTCACTGTACTTGTTTCTATAAATTATTTCATTCATTCTTTTACTATATACTTCAAATTTTAGTTTTCATGTCAAGCAGACATAATAAGTGAAAGATAACATTCAACAGTCTTTTTTTTTTTTTTTTGTCCCTTTAATGTAAGACTATTGTTAAGCAGATATAATAAGTAAAAGATAACATTCAAGAGTCTTTTTTTTTTGTCCCTTTAATGTAAGACTATTGTTAACTTGGGTTATTCTTATAATTCTTTCTGAGCTTCGTATCCTTGAGAAATTACGTACTTGTCAGATTTTGTCTCGAAATACTAAGATGCTTCCAATTTATTGAATTCTTCCTCCATCTGGGTGGGTGAAGATAAACACTGATGGTTCGACAAGAGGAGTCCCTGGCTCGATTGTTTGTGGTGGAATTTTTAGGAATGTTAGGGACTTTGTTTGTGGTTGTTTCAGTGTTTTTCTTGGAGAAGGTTTCGCTTTTGAAGCTGAAATGTGGGTTGTAATTAATGTCATCTCTATTGCATATGACAATGGTTGGCCTAAATTGTGTCTTGAGAGTGATTCATCCTCAAAATCTTTGTAAGTGTCTTTTAGAGATTGCGCGAAAACTGGAGCAGGATTCTTTCTTATATCTAAGAGGATGGATTTTTATTTTTCTCATGTATTTCGCGAAGCTAATAGGTGTGTTGACAAATTTGTTAATCTTGAGATTATTAATTGTAATAGGATGTGATGACCTTATTATCCTGATTCTTTAGAATTTTATGTGTATAGAGATTATATTGGTTTTCCTTTCAACAGATTCACTAGATTTTTGTGTGATTGTAACATGTTTTTCCTCTTCTTTAATAATATGAGCCTTAATTAAGGTGTTATTTTTAAAAAAAAAATTTAAAGTTTTGGGCATACTTTTTTTTTTTTTTCATTTTCTGGATAATTCATTTAGAATGATTATTGTGATTAACAAATATTTTTAAATTCATCTTTGATCACCAAGTCTCCTTTCTTTTCCTATTCACTTTTAGATCAAGAATCTATTATTATCTAAGAATACTAATAACAATCTTTTTTCAATGTTGTTAGTGATACGTGGGAAAATAACAGGAATTATTTTTTTTAATAAATATCAAATTTAATTAAATTAGAACAATGGCTGTTTTTAAAATTAATTGTTGGATAACCGTTGACCAATAATGTTTTATCAATATAATAAGGTATCGTTCATTTCACCGATTCGAGTTTAGAATTCGAGTTTTGTTACAGTAAAAAGTTTTCAGAAATAATCACATTTAACTTTTTTAATATAGTAAAAGGCTCTCACATAAAATCTCATCTCAACTCAAATTAAAAAATCGAATCAGCGAACTAATCGGGCCCTAAGTGTTCTATTAATGTCCAGTTAATAATTTATCAATGAATCACTTAGTAATTTGATGGTCAATTACTGAATAATAAGATCTAATTGATTAGTTATAGATCATTTTTCTAAAAGAAAATTCTGATAATTTTTTTAAGAGGTGGCTGGCTACTTTACCTAATTTCTCATGTTATTATTATATTATTTTTATGTGAATTTACGATGTTCATATGTGAAATTTGTTTAATAGAAACTACATGTGATTTTGTCGTGATTTTATAGTAGAGACTTAGGCCTCATTCATTTCACCGATTCGAGTTTTCAGTTTTAGGTTTCTACAGTAGAAAGTTCTCAGAAAATGTCACATCTAACTTTTTCTGCTACAGTGAAAAGCTCTCAAAAATGTCACATCTCAACTCGAATTGAAAACTCGAATCTGCCTCGTTCTTTTCACTGATTCGAGTTTAGAATTAGAATTTTGTTACAGTAAAAAGCTCTCAGAAACAGTCACATCTAACTTTTTTACTACAGTAAAAAGCTCTCATACAACATCACATCTCAACTCGAATTAACGAACCGAACGGGCCCGAAGTGAACGAGACCTTATTATTTATATTATTATAAATAGTTAGATGTTATTGTGATCTTTTATTTTTTTATATTAATTAAATAGTAATTATATATTTTTAAGTTGAGTGAGATAAATAATATCTTTTATTATTTTGAGTGGTATTTCTAGCGGTGTTTCTGGTGTTTTCTTTTTATGTGAAATTACACATAAGAACATACTCGAGATGTTTATGGAATGGGCCTGAATTGAGCTTTGGGCCGACCTCCGCCACCCGAAAAGAGTTCATAAAGCTACATTTAACTGTTCAAAACGCTGCCGTATCGGGAGAAACAACAAACAAACACCACCGCTTTACCATACCTGATTAAACCCTCGAGCCGAATAAAAAGGTTTTATTCGTAAAATAACTTTTAAAAAAATTTTATTTGTAAAATGGTCACCGAATTATAAAATGCGAAAGATGTTTATTCATAAAAGAAGGTTATTTTACCAAATTCACTTTATTAAATTATCCACCCTGACAAATTTCTCCTTTCTTCCTCCTCTGTCGATTTCATCGTTAGAATAAAGAAAAAAACCCTAATTTCAGCTCAGAGAAGCCGAACCAGAGAGAAGAGGGGCAAACAAGAAAATGGGAGGAAAATGCCCTCACAGACGCGTCAAGAAGAGAAGGTACTCTCACAAGACCGCGCGCCGCACCAAGTTTCTCGTCAAAGATATCCTTTTTCTTTCTCTTTCTCTCTTGGTCGATCGATATTTTCTCGGGCTTTCTATCTGATTTTCCTTCTCTTTTCTTTTTTTTTTTTCAAGTATTGCTCTTATTATTGTTATTTTTCATTCGAATTTTCCTTGACGAAAAATCGATTACGCGATGACATGGTATACGATGAGCTGAAGAAGCCGGACGAGGTGAAGAAGCCGTTGCCTGTTGACGAGGACCTCCCGGGGATGGGCCAGTATTACTGCGTACACTGCGAGTATGAATTTCTTTTTTGTTTCTCGTGTTTGGTTGCCGAGAAAATAATGTGAAAGGTTCAGGAAATTTGGGAGTTTTAGAAACGGACACGAGAAAATTATGCTTATCTGAGGATTAAATAGAATCAAAGTTTAGGTTTTTAAAGAATTAGGCTTTGCAATTATCTTAACCAGGTTATTCTTTCTCGTTTTTGTTTTCCGTGTTTGGTTGCCGAGAAAGAATGAGAAAGGTGTAGGAAATTGGGGAGTTGTAGAAATGAAAACGTGAAAGTTATGCTTAGCTGAGGTTAAATAGAATAAAGTTTAGGTTTTTAAAGAATTGGGCTTTAGAATTATCTTAGCTAGGTTTGAGTTCTTTGATTCTGTGTTTAATTGTTGATTAAAATGGGTTTCATTTCATGTGCAGCCGATACTTCGCTAATGTGACCGTTAGAGATGAGCATTTCAAAACAAAGCGTCACAAGAAGCGGTAAGTAAATTGATCTTGCTCTTATCATTTTCCTTTGTTTGTGTTTTCTGTTTGACGTTTTGTGTTTTGTTTTAATTGTTAATTGTGCTTGTTTAGATGATAAATGAGGACTTTGTTCTTATAATAGTTGTTTGATTTAAAAAAATGTGATCAAATTAACTCAGAGAAGGTGCATTTTCACGTTGGAAATGTCATCATGTGTTCACTCTTTATATCAAATATACTGGGAACGTAAATCATATTGAAGATATCATGGTCATAAGAGAGTTCATTTATTTTGATTTTTTATGAATTCTATGGGGTTGAGGAGCTAAATACTCCTATACTTGTTTATAGTGTTATCATATTGTTGTTTCAAGTTGAGAAGTTGAGAAGTTGAGAACCTACTATACTTCATCAGTAAAACATAGACTAAGTGGAGATAGGGAAGAACAAGAGTAGTAATGGACCGGTATTCTGGTAGTGATTTATGTGCGTGGCTATTCATAAATTGTCGGCAGGATTGCTTCGACCCATGGAAAGCCTCTGATTTCATTTGTGAAAAGGGTAGTTGAATTCACTGCTTCATACTTGTGACATTGGAATTCGATTCACATTAACTTTCACATCTTGTTCGAGAACTTTAGACGCCATTGCATGGTGGTGATTTCCTTTTCCTTGAATGTCTTTTGCTGATGCAGTTTGAAACTGATGATGGGACCGGCACCGCACACCCAACTCGACGCCGACTTAGCAGGTGGAATGGGAATGCCAGATAATGGCCCGAAGCTTATGTCCATGTGAAGCCGCGAACAACCTGTTTTTGTTTCTTTCTTTTATCTGTTTAGAACTTTAGAAGATGAGGGATACAAGGCTGATCCTTAAACAGAAAATGCTACCTTGTAGTAGTGAGAGAGTTGCCTTTCTATAAAGTTTTTAGTTTCTAAAAAAAAAAAAAATGTGCTAGTGGTAAATCAATTTTGTTCTTTGTATTCTTATGATTTATTATTTCCTAATCAATTAAATCATCTTTTGTTTACTATTCGTGTTTTTTTCGTTTCCCCTCTTGTTATAACTACTATTACGCATATCGTAAACAACCAATTATCCTACGCTTTCTAGTAAAGTCTTACTAGTGATGCCATGTTTAAAGAGATGTTCATGAACCACACTAAGCAAACCAAGAAATAGCATGTATAGTTAGTACTCTTCTTGTGGATATCGTAGTGATATGGCATAGTTAGTTCTCTTTTTTTTTCTTTTTTGTTGCGATCAAACAATTATAGTAGCAAATTTCCTTGCAAAGTCCCACTTGTAAGTTGTAACACAAAATATGAGAGAGAACAATGCTTATTGCTTAAACATTAAGGTGTTCATCGAATTACAATCAGTTTTATAGCAAGAATCATCTGTTTGTTTTAAGGATTCGTCCGTGGTTCTGCATTGTAGTTCTTAGTTTTCTACAGTGTTTTTTTCTCACAAAAAATTTAAATTTTAAAAATCAGAATTATGAATCATGGTTCTGACTCTATTAATCAAACGTCTCATTACATTAGTGCATCGAGTTGCCTCAAAGAAAGAAAAAAAAAGTGTCACTTTAACGTTTGAAAGTCCTGTCTGCAAAGCAATACATCCATACGCTCTGTCATGAAGCTGAGGAAGTGTTCTTTCTCACTCATCTACTCAAAGTTGATGAGGAGAGTTTTCTTTTATATTGTATATGTAAAAAGGTTTCCAACAATATTAGCCTACAACGTAGTTTATTTCCCGTGAACATGTAAGTTTGAATTGATTTTGTCCAATGAATCGGTTTCCTCAGCTTTCCACTTGCTTGAAAATTGAAACGTAATTGCTTGACAAGACTTAAAAATATGAACATATAAGGCCTTGTCTGGTAACATTTTCGTTTTTTAATTTTTCAAAACGAAAAGCTTAAATAATTTCTCTTGTTATTATTTTTCATTTTCTTTAAAAAAAAAAAAAAATGTTTGGTAACTCCCATTTATTTTCCGTCATCGAACAGTTACAAACGGTTGTGTTTAATGATTGTCTAAACACAACTGTTTCTAGTTACTAGCTCTAACTTGAGATTCACAGCCATAAAGTCTATAGAGATTGAGAATGGCTCGGAAGTTTCCTCACTTTACTATCCTTTGTTATAATCAGAAGAAGAATAAAAACTTAAGGTTGAGGCATAACTTAACGGTAAGACTGAAAATTTAAGGTTGCAATCATAGCTTAACGGTAAGAATGAAAATTTAAGGTTGCAGGCATAGCTTAACGGTAAGAATGAAAATTTAAGGTTGCAGGCATAGCTTAACGGTAAGAATGAAAACTTTAACGGTAAGAATGAAAATTTAAGGTTGCAGGCATAGCTTAAAGGTAAGAATAAAAACTTAAGGTTGCAGGCATAGCTTAACGGTAATTTTACATCTGACTCCACCATAAAGTGAGAAGAGTTCGAATTCTCATTCTAAGTTCAAAAAAAAAAAAAAAAAAGAATGGAGACTCTGGTATAGCATCTTTACAGTAGAATTCTAACGTCCTATAAGGTGGAAGCTGTAGATTTAATATGTCCAAGGACTAAAGCTTTTAATCAGTTTCCTCTTTGTCCTCTCTGCTTGAGATTCTGTTTCTGGTATGTCCCATTTTCCCTTTCTTTTTCCTCCCTTTTCTTTTCTTCTGATCCGGGTTCATTTTATCTACACTGTGGCTTGGCTTTTAGTAGGCTGTCTTTGTTACCAAATTAGCTGTTTTAGGCAAGAGTTGTCAGTTGCTTCCATTGTCTTTGTCCGACTAAAAACAAGCAGCCTATCATACTTCATCAGACATTTAAAGTGCCAATGTTTGATGTAATCATCAAATTTTCTTTATCTAGGTGAGGAAAATAGAAAATGATGAGGACAGACGGTTTTTTGTTTTTATTATTATTATGGGCTAGTTTAATAGTGCTATAGATTTTTAAAAAATTACTTTTAGTTGTGCTAAAAAAAATAGTTGTTGTAAAAAGTAATTAAGGGCCTGTTTTTTTAGAGTGTGACTTGAGCGTAATTTTTGAGTTGAATTTGAGTTATAACTTGAGTTGAAGTTGAAACTTGAGTTTGTGTTTGGTTGTGTACATTTGAGTTATGGTTTGAGATAAGAATCTTTTTGAATTTGTGTTTGAGTAAGTCAAAACTTGAATTTGTATTTAGATAGTATTTTAATAAAAACTCAATGGTGATGAAAAATTTTAATAGTGTATATGGGTGGGGTTTATTCATCTTTTCGTTGTCATCGCATAGAAAAAAAAATCATCTCAATCAGGATTAAAACGAAAAAGTTATAGCATTTTTAAGAATAAAAAAATATTATTTATTAATTTAAGTTCGAGTTTCTGAACTCAAGTTGAAGGGGAAACTTGAATTCGATTTTTAGTCTCAAACTTGAGTTCAAACTTAAAAGAACATGAACTTGAATAAAGTTGAAACTCGAGTTGCCTTTTTTTAAGTTTTTAGGCTACCGAACACACCCTGAGTATTTTGTAAACTGTAATTATACAAATATTAATTCTAAGAGTATTATGGGTATTATGAAATTTTCATTAATTGTACTTCAAGATGATTGCCGCACAATTTAAAAATTAAAATTATTTTTAAATTATTTTTGATTTTGACTGTAAATTCTTAAAAAATTTTTTAAGAATTACTTTTTATAATTTTTTACTAAAACGCAAATTTTAACTATGAATGGTTAGAAAATTAATTTTAGACTCCAAAAATCACTGCCAAACATACTTTATGTTTGGTATAGATTTTCTCTCGAATCTAAATAACTACGAGGGAACGAGATTGGAGTTGTATAGATAATTTTGGATCCCTCAATCTATTCCCTCTCCTTCTAACCGTTATGTTTCCAGATGCAAATTCTTGTCCAGAATTACTTTTTCAATACAACTGCCAAAGCATCATTATGCAGAGTAAAATAATTGCTGTCTGAGGTCGTATGATCAAATGTTTCAATTTCTTTTCTTTTTTTTTTTTTTTTGGTCACTCCTATTTACTTTTCTTCTTTTTTCATCCTAAATCCTGACAGCGGAAAAGAATTTTGCATTGTCAGTAAAACAGCCATTATAATCTGCTTGTCCCTGACCAAAATGAAGGTGTGTTAGTTATGACTTTCCACTATGTCAAATATATATATTTATATATAAAAGTATGGTGTGACAGCCGTACATTACGGCAGATGTAACATTAAAAATATTACATTTACTAGATTGATACAGTCGAGGAAGACATTTATATATATATATATTATATATATATATATTTTAGTACAATATGATAATATTAAAGCAAGTTACATATATGATGAGAGATTACATTTTGATAAAATGAATGTTATATGAATACACAAATGATATTTATTACTCATGCGAATAAAAAAAATATTACATTTACTAGATTGATACAGTCGCGGAAGACATTTATATATATATATATATATATATATATTTGGAGCATTCATCTCAGATTTCACTTGAATCTTTCTCAAATCAATAAATTAGAGTAGGACAGTTTGTGTCACTCATTATTTTGACTGAGATGTACAATGTACATATAGCTCATTATTTAATTTAATTATTAAATTAAATGGGAATGAATGAGCAAAAAAAAATCCAAAAACAATGGACCAGGCAATCACAGTAGGCCACTTCTATTGAACCCCCATCTCTGGCCACTCACATCCTTTGTGTTATATTTCTCACCAACAAAGAGATTAGGTGGTGGCGTCCCACAAATCTGTCATTTTCCTCAACCATTATCCACTTTTTTTTTCTTTCTTTTCCTTGTTTCTTTTTTCCTCTCCACGCTTGTCCATCACTAGTCACTATGTTTGGCGTGTTCAAGACTCTCTTCATCTCTCGAGTCTTTTTCCAATTTCTGCTTTAATCAGTTCGGCAGTATTTTCTCCAATTGCTTTCTTGTCTTGGAAACTCATGCACATGTGCAAGCCACATGTGGACTTTCAGCTCAATAATGGTGTTCCCCACAAGGCTCTTATCATAAATATATGCATATCCAATTGGGATCAAAACCAGGCGGTTTGGTATTTGCTTCCGAACTAAAAATCATTAACATTTTGTCAGCAGCACATGTTACTCTTCCAAGGTCTACATCCAAATGCCATTATATCCACTTCCATATAGGTTGTGATCATATTACATATGGTGAATATACTCTTGGATTCCATGCATGATTTTTGTGGCCAAATGAAGTTTGCCATTTTTAGGTTTTCAAAGCGCAAATTGTGTATCATTTTGTAAGATCTGGGCCCCCCATATTGCACCGCGCAAACACTTTCCAAGCATTAAATGATGGTAGAGAATGAATCAGTTCGAAGAGATTGGGTGTTTATTAAATACGAGTTCACCGTTTGAACTTGAGAACGAAGTCATGCTTTTTCCGGGCGAGATTTTAACAATCAGATGAACAGAATGACTAATTTAGAATAATTTGGTAGACGATGAGTTATTAGAGGACGCTTTAAAAGTTAAGGATTAAAATGAGATTCGGCCAAAATTTAAAGATTAAAATGGAACTAACCTTATGTTTTATTAACTAATGAAAATATTGGGAATGAAATTGATGGTGTTACTAAAAAAGCTCCAATACAAATTTCAAAATCTACTCAGAAAATCTTTTATAAAAAGCTATATTTAGTGGCATTTTATTATTATTATTATTCTATAGTATAATCGACCAAAAAAATATAAAAAATTTGTCATTCTACAGTCCTGACCTTGCAATTTGCCTTAAAAAGATGTCGTTTTATCTGTTGCTTACGCTTCATAATATTCTCTATAAACCATGAGACAAAAGATAGATGCACAAGTGTCATTAACTCTATGTTATCATCTATTTCAATCTTACGTATTGCTTGTTATCATTGTCCTTGAGAGGTCCATAAAGACAACATATGCGGTAAGAGATTAAAAAAGGAGGGATAATAGACATACTATACCAAAATAAGAAAGAGAAAAACAAAACAAAACCAAAAAAATCACAAGGCGTATATGGATGAATATACTCCTTTTTTTTTTTTTACTGGTATGTTTGTTCACCTTTACTTGCCTTCTCTTTCCTCATCTTCTTTTGGTCTTGCTGAAGAAGTTGAACTTGAGGCCATTCCAATAACCTGGCTGTGTGTGAACCTTTGTAGTTGTATCATTCTTGCATAACACCCATCAGGGTAATTCTTTAATAGATGGGAGTGTGATCCTTGCTCAGCCACTTTCCCATCATCAATCACTGCAATGACATGGGCATTCCTAATGGTTGAAAGCCTGTGTGCAACCACAATTGTTGTCTTTCCCGAGCAGGCGCGCTCTAGAGCCTCTTGAACGGATCTTTCAGACTCAGCATCGAGTGCGCTAGTGGCCTCATCGAGCAGCATAAGCTCTGCCTTCCTCACCAATGCCCGGGCAATCGCAATTCTTTGTTTCTGTCCCCCAGATAATTGGACTCCTCTCTCACCAACAAAAGTTTTGTATCCATCAGGCAACGAGGATACAAACTTGTGGGCATTGGCCAAAGTTGCAGCCTCTATGATTTCCGCCTCAGTCGCGAATTCATGCCCGTATGCAATGTTTTCGTATATGGTTGTAGCAAAAAGACACGGCTCCTGAGGCACCACTGCAATGTGCTTTCTGAGTGACTTGAGATTGTACTTTCTAATGTCTTTCCCGTCAATCATGATCCTGCCTGATGTTGGGTCATAGAACCGCTGTACCAATGCAATAACCGAGCTCTTCCCACACCCACTAGGACCAACAAGCGCAAGAGTTTTTCCTGCTCGAGCGCGCAGAGTGAGGTCACGGAAGATGGGGACGTCAGGGCGAGTAGGATAAGAGAAGTCCACATGTTTGAATTCAACCTCTCCACGCAGCCGGTCAGGAGCTGCCGTGGCATCAGGGTCATCAGGTTCTATTTCAGTTTTGCGATCAAGAAGTTCAAATACTGATTGCATAGCTCGACCACCCTTGATGAAATCAGGAGCTAAGGTCAGCGTCTCGGCTGCTCCATTGGCAGAGACCATTAGGACCATGAAAACTCTGATGGTCTTTGAGAAATCAGAGACACCGTGCTTTACAAGCCATGAAGCGTACCAAAGACCAAGAGCATAAGAAGCATAGAGTGCAAACTGAGCTACCCCAAATCCACTTCCAGCAATCTGACCCTTCCAGAAGCAGCGGCGTAGCGGAGTCTCGAGGTTGGTGGTGAAAAGACCAACAATTTTTTCCTCTGAATTGAAGGCGGCAACAGTCCTCACGTTGGCTATGGCCTCCCCAGCTAGTTGGGTACCCTTGGCATGGGCAGCTTCAAGGTCTCCAGAGAAACCAGTCATAAACATTTTCTGCCAAAGCCAACAAGAAATTATTATACAAAAATTTGTACCACGTGAAAAATTCGTAAAAATTGATTACATATGCTTCATTTCTGGTGTTTTAGCCCCAACAATTCTGTAAGCATCGCATGCTAGAGGCACTAGTTGGGAAAAAAACAAACCTGTAAAACAGTGGCCGCAACGACCACAGGGAAGACAGCTACGAGTACAAGGGCAAGACGCCACTGAAGAACGAAACCGGCTGTGCATGCGACTAACATAAGCGCTGTGTTCTGTACAATTACCGAAATCCTGTCTCCTATGGCTGATCTAACATTGTTGGCATCAAGAGCCAGCCTTGCTGCAACTCTAGCACTCTCATTTTCCTCCTGATCGAACCATGCCATTTCATTTTTCAGCACGGCTGCCAGCATTTTCTCCCTCACGCGTTTCGTGAGGTTCTCTCCCACAATGTCCCAGAAGAAATGTTGTAGCGTGTTGAAGAGAAGTGCCGCCGATGAAAGCCCGATCAACAGATAGCAATACTTTCCGATTTGTTTGATCATGTAAGCGTGATCAGGGTTGTAGTAAACACTGAGAACAGCACTAAGGACATATGCAAAGAATGCACTTAGAGAGCCACAAACAATAGAACCAATGGAACCAACTAAAGCGTAAACCCATTCAGGTGAATTCATTTTCGCCAGGCGCCAGAAAGAACTAGCTTGCTCCTTGAAGGGAAGCTTTTCAAGCCGGTAATTGGGGTACGAGGCATCAAGAGAAAGACTAAAATCAGAAGTGGAGAAGTCAGACAGCCGGCGGGAGTATGGTGATCGACCATATGAGGAATTTCGAGCAATTATTGGTGAGCTAACTGAGTTTCTGGCACTAGAAGGCCTGCAAATGTAGAACTTTAATCAGCATTTCATTACGTAAAAGATATTGATAATCAGAGAGTATACGGGTGATACCTAGCGCTACTCTTCCTGGCATTGTTGAGAGCAGTCTCGTGTGCCATCTCCTGCATTCTTATGAGCTTGGCATACATGCCATTTTCTCCTTTAGCAATGAGTTCGTCATGGGTTCCGATTTCGGAAACAGACCCTTGCTGCAGCACAGCCACAAGGTCAGCCTTGCGAATGGTTGAGAGGCGATGGGCAATGACAAGTGTCGTCCGCCCTATCATGAACCGATCAAGGGCCTCTTGTACCAACTTCTCAGACTCAGAGTCCAAAGCACTTGTTGCCTCATCTAATAACAAGATTGCAGGGTTTTTCAGCATTGCCCTTGCTATGGCTATCCGCTGTTTCTGCCCTCCAGAGAGCTGCAATCCCCTCTCCCCTACCTGCCATTTTCGAGCAACCATTATGCCTTTTTTTTTTTTTTTTTTATGCTTTCATGTTTACTTAATGTCATCGTTATTGAAAAGTAAAAATTTCCAATTAGTAAAGGTCAAATTGTAACTCAAATAATCCTTGTAAGTACTCGATTGAATCAAATTTTCCCACGGAAAAAAAAACAAAGATTAACTAAACAAAATCAGTTAGCTACTAACTCTTTTTTTTCCATTTTTTTCTTTTTCTTTTTTTGCTCTTTTCCAAGTTGCATAGAGACTGAAATAATTAATATGTTTATTTTATTGTGCTAATATTGTGTTTATCTTCCTTATTCTACGAACTAGGAATTTTCTACGTAATCCTCCATTCAACAGTTTAGCTAATTCATGTCTGATTACATATGTATAATGAACCATTATTTATTTCTGCACATGCATTGTTGACTAAAGCATGTTACTTTCCATCAAAATACATGCATGACCAAACACTTTCTATATTTGACTTCCGAACAACTCGACATAAAAAAAATAAAAAATAAAAAGGTTAGGTCTTGTTTGTTGACCAAATCAAACTATTCTCTCTCAACTATATATTATTAAGATTAAGACATCAAAAACCGAACTACATCATGAGAACCCCCCTAGTCAAGATCCATAACCAAATTTAATATTCACAAGTTAAAGACATTTTTTCCTTGGAATAGGCTTCTAGATAAGGTAATCAGATAGGATTATTGTACCGTGTAGCTTACTGCTCTTCAGATAGTTTCATGTCATTGTCAAAAGGCTTAATTAGCTAACTAACCTACCTGAGTGTCATTATAAATACATACATACATACATACATACATACATATAAAATATATAAAAACTAACCTGAGTGTCAAAACCATCAGGAAGCTTGATAATGAAAGAGTGAGCATTTGCAACTCTTGCAGCTTCTTCAATTTCAACTTGGTCTGCATCAGGCCTACCCAAAAGTATGTTTTCTTTAATGGTTGTAGCAAATAAGGCAGGCTCTTGGCTCACAAGTCCGATTTGCTGTCTTAGCCATCTCAGTTTCAATGTCTTTATGTCATGCCCATCTAGAAGAACTTGTCCTGTCCCAAGTTTTTTAATCAATCACGAGAGGAAATATTCATCAGTTACTGAATTAAATGAGTTATGGAACAAACAATAGTGACTTCTATTGCAACAAACTTATTTAATAATTTTTGGAAGATATGTGTATTGCTGTATGGTTTTACCTGAGGTGGGATCATAGAATCTCTCAATGAGAGAGACCACAGTGCTCTTACCAGAGCCACTGCTGCCAACCAAAGCTATGGTCTTCCCGGCCGGGACGCTCAGGCAGAAATTGTTAAGGATGCGAACCTCTGGCCTCGCTGGATACGAAAAGTCCACGTTTTGCAGCTCCACAAGACCCGTCACCGAATCTAGCTCCAACCCTGAGTCGCTGTTCCGGTCAATTCCTGGCTTGTGATCAATTACCCGGAAAATTTTCGCAGCTGCAACTTTAGCCTTTGTAAATGCACCCATGCTTGGTGCAGATTGACCCAACGCACTGCTCAGCCAAAGGAGAAAAACATTCAAGCGAACAACATTTCGAAATCTGTTTGATAAAAAACAAAAGTGAAAAAAAATGCAAATTCAGTACTTACAGTCCACCTATCATAACTGCAAACATAGTGGCGATGGCAAGTCCTCCATTAGTGTAATGGTGCCTAACCAGATAACCTCCATACCAAAGCAAGAGGGCGTAACAGCAAAAGACCACAAAGTAAGTGGCACCAAGTCCCATTCCCTTTGCAAATCCACTCTTGTAACCAAGCCTCTGGGCAATCCTCAATGCACTGGAATAAGCTTGTAGAGCTCTTGATTCCCCAACAAACGCCATAACCACACGAATTTGCACAACTGTCTGTTATTCAGCCACAAAATCAGCCATACCCAGATGCAGAAAAGCACACAACTTTTGCCACAAATCATCTACTAGGCAAGTAAACTAAAATAAAATAAAATAATAAAAAAAAAAAAGTGGGGAATTTTTTTTAGACCTGTTCAACAACATTCCCAGCTTGAGACAAAGCATCTTGGCTCTTTCCAGAGAGTTTTGCCAGTGTGGTTGTGTGGATTCCTCCGATTACTGCTATGAGAGGAACAACAGCAAGAGTGACCAGAGCTAATTGCCACACAGCAGTGAAACCCACCACAAAACCAGACACAAATGTGGCCATGTAGTGAACAAAATTCCCCAGCTGCAACAAAATTTAAAAAAAATAATTAAAAAAAAAGAGTAGGAAAAAAAAATGTTTAACTCAGAATTAGTTAGAAACAGTTGAAAGATAAGGAGAGATTATATATATATATAATATATACATATTTACTTTACCTTCTCGCTAATGGCGTCTTGGACTAAAACGGCGTCGGTGTTAATGGCGAAAACGACGTCGGAGGTTCGGACTTCAGTGTCGAAATACTGAATGTCTTGGTTCAGAGCGGCTTCAAGATACTTGATTCTCATCCTCGTCGATTGCCTCTCTCCCGTCCACATCCAACAAGATATCTCTGCACAATCGAATAATAAAGCCTTAATTACAAACCCAGAAAAAAAAAATTTAAAAATAAAAAGAAAAAAAAAAGGAAAATAGTTCAGAAGCTTACTCACCAGCCCATGAGGACGCCCATATTGCAGCTCCAACGACGAGAAAGTACAATGCGTACTGAAAAATTCACCCAAAAAAAAAAGAAAATAAGAAGCTGAGATTTTGTTTCTGCCATTTGAGTTTTTAAAGAACATTGATTTGGATTCTGGGTTGAGGTTTATTCTCCAAATGCGAAGTGAAAAATCATCACAGAACCAAAAACAAAACAAAGCAATGAAAAAAAAAAAAAAAAAAAAAAAAACTGTTTTTTTTCCTCTCTAAAGAATAAGTTTTAAACGCGGAAAACAGAGCACTAAAAAACCAGTCTTTTTTTTTCTTCTTCTTATAATTTGGCAGGGAAAAAAATAAGTAAAGGAGCAATGAGATTGTGAGATTTTTTTTCCAATTTTGATTTTTTTAAAAACATTGATATAAATTTCGGGTCTTGGCTTATTCTCCAAAATGCTCACTAAAAAATTCATCCCAGAAGAAAGTTTTAAAAACAGAAAACAGAGCAATGAAAAAAACAGTCTCTTTCATTTTGTTACTAATTTGGGAAATAACAATTCTAGCGGCAATGAAAAATCACAGACCTTGAGGACCTCTTGCATCATCTTGTCAACGTTATTGGCATTGGAGCCAAAAGAATTGACGAGATCGGCGAAGAATCGGAGAAAGAGCGGCAGAGAGCAGCCATGGACGATTGCTCCGACCGACCCAATTGTCATCAAAACATAGTCCAGACCATCGGCAAATCTGAATAACTCCCCGAACCCGACTGGGGAAATTCCCTCACTCTTCCCTCCTCCATTGCCACTAGTACTACCAGAGTCTTTCTCCTTCTTCTCCGGTGCTGGATCAGCAGAGGATTCACCACTCTTCTCCATTGTCGTTTTCTCCTCTTCTTGTCGATTTTGTTGGTGTTGTTCTCCTTCTTCTTGTGGCGTTGTTGTAATTGGGTTGGTTTTATATGGAGGAGAAGAAGAAGAAACAAGGAGCTCCAGGCCTTGCATTTCGGACCATTTCCACTGCTCAATCGTCTTTATCTCCTGAGAATCTTGTGACATTTGCATAAATATAAATAAAAATTCCTATCTTTATTATCAGTGGAACAAAACCTCTTTCTTTCTCTCTCTTCCCTCTCTCTTCTCTCTCTCTCTTCTTTATTATCTTCACCCTACTACTACTGCTGCTGTTCGCTGCTGCTACCTGGCTTTTGAGCTCTTTTTTTTTCCCCCGGTCTTATTTAACTTTATTTTTCGGCTCAAATTTTTTACTTTTAACTCTTTTTTTTTTTTTTTTGGTAACTTGGGTTGTGCTAAAGTTCCAAACTTTCTTTCTCTCTCTCTCTCTCTCTCAGTTTTGTGTTTTGTTGTTTCTGTAGTACCTCAAAAGTTGCTGGGTTTGTGCTTATGGTTGATGGGTTTCCTTTCCCTCAGTTTTGCTTCATCTGTAAAATATAAAAAAAAATAAAAATATTAATTTAAATTAAAAAAAAAAAAGAAAACAATGAAAGTGACAGATTGGTAAGTCTGTCTGCAGAGCCTAGAGAGAGAGAATTGAGGTTTGTAAGGTCCCTACATTTTACTGCACGATTTAAATTTAAAATTTATGTTTTATTATAATAAAAAAATTTTAAAAAATAATTATATTTATGTGACGTTTGTTAAGAGATTTTTATCTTGATTTAAATCATATTTTATAGTTTATTATAATATTTTTTTTATAAAAAATACACGTAAATTAAAAATAATTTTAATTTTATGATTTTAATCCATGAACTAAACGTTTTTTTAATTTTTTTATTACAGTAAAAAAAATTTATATAAAATTACATTTTAATTTAAAGTAAAAATTTAAATAATTAAATTAATGGATCCTAAATTAATAACTATTTTTTGTCTTTTGATTTTCCACCCGACAGACAACACTGCATGAAAACTACAGATTGGTTTTTGACTGAAACAGATTCAAGTAGAAAACTCACAGAGATGAAAATAGTAAAAGAAAAAAAAATGAGATTTTTACAGTAGAATTAGAACATTAAAAAAAATGGTAGTACTTTGTTTTAAATCGTATCATATTCTGTAAATTGTGTATATTTTTTTTTATTTTGATGTAGTTGTAATTGTATCTAAATTTAATAATATGTACTAAAATAGAGTATATCCAACAACTTTGTTAGCTTTTCATTCATGTTGTTAAGATTTGGATATTTTTTATTAGTAGAAACTTTCATATATCCTAAATAGAATTTCTTTATATTCCTTTTCTTTTTCGTGTGAAATTCCTCTGTTTTGGCTTCTTCTCCAAGTTAGAAACAGTAATAATAATAGTAATAATAATAAATAATAATTTGTTCTAAAACAAAACCGTGAAAAGCCCTCCATAAGAATCATCATCATAAAGTTCATACCTTGCCTCGTACAGCCCTTTTCTGTCCCCAATAAATCCGGTGACTTTTCCTATCACTGTACCCGAAAAATAATTAAAAAATAATTTTCTTTTTAAGGATAAAGAAAAAAATGGTCTTTCTCTCGTACGTTCAGGTAAGTTAAATTTTTTATAAAATTACATAATACGTAAATTTAATAGTTAAAAAAATCTGATTTATGAGTATATTAAAAAATCTCAAAAAGAAAAAGTTTTCAACCTCACCCAAAGCCTCCTTAATCCTTTCAACAAAAATAGTGTAATTATATTCATTATTATTGTTAATTCATCCTCTAGTATATTAGTCTGAATCTTTGACTTTAACAAAAAAAAATTGACGGTGACGGTGTACATAAAAAAATGTTACAAATAAACCCACCAATATTTTATTACCAGCTTCTTTTTTTAATAATAAATGGAACTGAAATTCCTGATCATTGTTAATTCAAAGTGAGAGGTTTTTTGCAGGCAAATTTTGTCAGGAAAATCGTGGTCAAATCTAGAGGAATCATCCAAGTTTATATTCTTTATTGAAAATGACAGCAAATTTTGGTTTTTTTTTTTTAGGACCAAGAAATTTTTTTTTTTTTTTAGTAAGTGCTGTGCTACTACTACTACTAATCTCTGCAGTCAGAATACTCTGCGGTTTACTAATGACTTTATTAAGACTTTAATATGGATTTAAGGTAAAGTAATTCTTTTTTGCTTTAATTAAGGTAAAAGTGGCTTCTGTGTTTGATCAGAAAACAGAGAAAACAGAGAAAAAAGAAAGAAGTTGGCTTTAATCACGCTTTAGAGTTTTATAATACTAATTAATATTATTATCAGTTTTTCGGTGGAATCAGCTCCTTTTTAGCTCAATTTCAATAAAAGCAACTGGGATCGGACACACTAAAAATTCCATCGAGCTGCTAATTTTTACCGTTATTTTGCAGTGGGATTGTGACAAATATTATATATAATTATCATTAATCATTACTTTGTATTAAAAAAGGCGCGTAACGTATGTATGTGTACGTGTATATATGTGTATGTGACGTGTATATATAAAAGTTATAACGTATTATAGTTTTACACTTTTACTTATGTAGACGTGTGTGTGTATATTTACACAATTATAATGCTGAAGATTTTCTTGTAAGACTAAAAAAAATTAATTAACAATAATTTTTTACTTTTTAATTATCAAATCTATATAAGAAATTACATAGGCCAACATATTAAAAAAAAGTCTCGTACAATGCATTTTTTTACATGTATGTGTATTCTACAAAATAGACATATTAATACATATATTTGTACATGAACAAATACTAAGGAATCTTGACCCATCAAATTTCATTATGGTTTTATAATTGTAGGGTATGTTTATTTGGACAGTGCAAATCATGACTTGAGTTGTATATATATGAGAGAAAAATACTGTAACAAAAAAATTAAATTTAAATTTTTATAAGAAAAAATATTATAATAATATGACTTGAGTAATAAAATAAACAAGCCTTAGTATTCATTTTCTTTTCGTCTTTATTCTCCGTAAAATTATAAAGACATACTATTTTTTAAAAATATTTACAATAAATAACATATCTAAAAATATTTATGATATATATAGTATAAATAATTCGGTTTACGACTATATTTACTACAAATTTACCCTCAATATAATTCATAAATAAAATATGTTATTTAAAAGTGTATTTATTTAGCTCTTTCTTTCTTATTCTAATCTCCTATACCTAGAATTAGCACCAAGTGAATTTACGAACTCAACTAACATGTTCTACCCGTTTTTGTTTTTGAAATAGCAAAAAAAAAAAAAAAAAAAAAAAAAAGGGTGACAAAAGCGAAAAATGAGGAACAAAGAGAAGGAAGCGAAAGGGGGGGTGTGTTATTGATATCTTTCTCTCTTTTCACGCATACCGTACGGTCTCTGAGAATGCCTCTTGGCAGGACAGAGGCTCTTGTGTTTTTGGCAACGCCCAATCCACGGCCATTTCTATTTGTCCACTCTTTGTTGCCTTATTCCTCATGAGATTGGCATTTTGCCTTTTGCGGCTTTTTCTCCCACAAGAATGCCACTTTGGCATTACGGGGCTTTTTTTTAAAGACCTTTCTTATTATTGATGCAATTTCTTTACTTTATTTTTACTTAACCTACACACTAACCTTATTATGAAAAAATAAACACTACCCGTCGGAATCAATACAACCGACGTGTTCCGAAGTCGGCATTTGAGTCCTACAATGGCATTGAGGTTTATTGATAAGATGAACGGAACCAACCGCTTGTTATATGGCCAGTTTTGGTTTTAGTATTTGGAGGGTCGGTTTTAACTTAACCAACCTACCACTCGAGAAAAAATGCATCGTTTATTTTATCGATTCGAGTTTTCAGTTTTAAATTTTTACAGTAAAAAACTCTCAGAAAATGTCACATCTAACTTTTTCTGCTACAGTGAAAAGCTCTCAGAAAATGTCATATCTCAGCTCAAATTAAAAACTCAAATTCGCGAAGTGAACAAGACCAAAATTTATATTTGTCTCGGATTTATACATAATAATGTCATTGTGCCCCCATAATCTATTCATTACCATATCTCTTCTCCTCTCGAGTTGAAACCCTAGGCGTCATTGCCCCCTCTTTGTCTCCTCGTCTCCACCAATCTTCCGGTAATGTATTTGACAATCTACATCATGTCTTTTGTATACACATTGGTTCTCCTATAATATGATTTTAAGAAACACAATTTACTAACAGGTGCATTAAATACCTTTTTGTGACAATGACGTATATGTATGTGTGTGTATATATAGTACTAATATAATCAATTTTAAGTTGTTGGAATGCTATTATGGCATGCCCTGACCAATACGTAATTACAACTTGGTCAAAAAAAAATCATTTCTCTACTTAGCCAGTAGTTATACGATCGTCATTCGTACGGCTCTACCAATATTACACTTATAGAGAAATATACTGAACTTTACATTTTTCATATTCTTACTACAATTTATAATGTTATAAGACATTAATTGTTCTAAGCACCACCAACTAATAAAGATTGGTCCCTTAAAATGGGACTCATATATGTAATTCACCTTTTAATATTAATAGTGTTTAACACTAATGATGTCTTTAAAGGTTTGTTTAGTACGAGAATTTAAATTAAGATAATTCAAATTGGAATAACAGTATGATTCTGGAATAAGAACTATAATTCATGATTTTAAGTTCAAATCATGATTTTGAAACCATGATTCAAAATCAGGGATTTAAATCACCTTAAATCAAGAGGAGGTGATTTTAAAATCATGAGTGATTTTTAGTTTAAAACATAACATCAGATTCTGAATCATGATTCAAAATCATCCAAGCCAAATACTGATTCTGAATCATGATTCAGAATCACTATAAACAAACACTGATTCTGAACCAAAATCTATAATTATGATTCTGGATCCATCCAAACTAGATTCATGTCATGATTCAAATCATAGTTCGTAGTTCGCTACAGTATTTTCTCTCATAAAAAACACACGTAAATAAAAAAAATTATGAATCTATTAACCAAACGTTCATGCTCGTTTGGTAAAGAGATTCGTTTCCTGATTCGAATTATGATTCGTGGTTCACTACAGTATTTTCTCTCATAAAAAATACACGTAAATTGAAAATAATTATAATCCATGAACCAAACGGATATTTCAATTATGTGTAATAAATTAAATATATAATGATATAAAATATGTGATGATGTATTGGTATAAAATATGTCAAAGAAAAACCATGTTGAAAACAGAAAACATATGTATGCCCCCTTTAGATCTCTAGGTCTTGGGTTGTTGTTTCGTGTGGTTCAATTTATCCATCCATTATCCATTTCTGGAATTTAGGCCAACCCCATCAATGCGATGTAATTGATGTGAAGGAACCAAATGACTACCAGTTTACAGAGTGGTAAACCACAAATATGGTATAAAGTTGT